CATCGCAACACCGATAGTGTTTGTAAGTATACCCAGTATGATTGTTGCTTAAATTATCCCTTTCAGAGAATGTACGCCGATACATTGGTTTGTCACTATGGTAGACAATGCTAGGCAAATTAGCCAACTAGCCACTAAAACTACACAAATTTGGCGACAAAGAATGCAATGTATAGTCAACGCCAAACAAAGTGTCGTGCACGTCATCAAGGTGGGTGTGTTGAAAAATTTACATTGTTGCCAAACTTTTTGTAAAATAATAAAATTTATTATTTACATATCTAGGTTTATAAGCAATATTAACCTCAAATGAGAACAAAAATAATAGTATAATAAAATTATAGATCTGTACTTGCATAATCATTAAGTATGACAATTATTGATCAGATGACACTATGAAACTACCATATTTAATTGATAGCTTAAAGGTACTGAATAAAAATCCAAATGGGGTCCTCCAAATTTTATGCATGGTATTTTTTTACAGAATTCATACAGAAAAATGCATTCTAAAATTAGGTAAGCTACTGGTGTAAGCTTTTTCTGTACAATAAAGTTAGTCGGAGTTTCTTTCTTCAGCGCTGTCTGAATCTGAATCTTCATCACTCTCAAAGTTGATTATTAAAGGTTCGATGTCTGGTCGATCAAAAATTCGTTCTCTTTCATACCATTTAAAAATTTCTTGCTCAGTATGTCGAACACTATTTTTCCACATGTCTGGGGTAACCGTTTGTAGAGCCTCATTCCACATATCCAAACAGTCTTTTTCACTGTTACCATCTCTACCAATATGTCTGTTATAGTAACCTTTTGCTATGCCCCAAATTAACTCAATAGGGTTAAATATACAATGGTAAGGAGGCAGACGAAGAACTTTGTGCCCATGTTGTTCCGCCAATTCATCAATCACGTATATTTTAGGTGGTTTGTTTCTAAAAAAGCAGGTATTTTAAGAATAGGAATAAACAAAAGAAATATAAACTGTCGACCAAAATATATATAATTAAGAAGCATTATGGATATTTTTTTTTGTCCATGCATTGTTGGGCACTTTGTTCAATATCATGCTGTGATAAGGGGCGTTATCCAGTATAATCATAGATGGACTCTCCAATTTTTCTAATAACTGATGTTGAAACCATTTCAAAAAATTGTCCTGGTTCATCTCTCCATGGTAATCGCTCAATTTTGTTTTCGAAGAAAATATCGCTTCACTACCCTCAATAAACCCATTTTCATTTCCAGCATGTAATATAATGTATCTAAAATATATTAGTTTTAAATTTTATAGTGCAAATTGTGTAAAAGTACATACCTTTTACCATCTGTTTTAATAGCTTTCACTCTTTTTTGGTTTCCATTTTGCCAAGAGCGACCTATGGTCCCATTTTGAAATATCCAAGTTTCATCGAGGAAGACAAACTGGTATAAGGAATCAACCTTGGCTTGATTGTATTGCCTTAGAAATTCCACCCTTTTCAAAGCTATACTTGGTAGTTCCATGAGCCCTCGTCGCGGATTGTCCTTAAGCCACTTAAATCCAAGATCTCTAAGCAACCGCCTTAAAGACGTGGCACTACCATCAAATAATGCCCTATCTCTTAATCGAGACCATAAAGTTTGTATCGTAACTTGTTCTTCTGAAACCATGTGTAATATGACATTATAATTTAGTTAACAAATTAATGCAAATTTCTGATAAGTTATTATAATAAGATCTTACTTTTATGATACATATTATAGATCACTTCTCGAATGGCACTTGTATCCAATGTCGCTGTGTTGGTTACACGTTTAATATAACTCCGCTTTTTCTTGGGCGATTCTAAATTTGCATCACTTTTCACACCCTCGGAAATACGACTAACTGTCCTTAAACTAATTTTTAAAGCAGCAGCAACACGCTACAAAAAATGAAATAAAATTTCACTATTATTAATATACATTACATATAATTATTAGTAACCTACCTCTTGAACAGCATTTAAAGGCAACAAAGGCCCGTTGTTGTCCCTTTCTTGCTCAAAGTAGTGCATTAACGAGGCCACGAGTTCCTTACACCGACTATTTAACTGTTTGGGCATCTTTATATACCAAAATTGCCTTTATCTACTCGTAAAATGAATAATTTTGTTTTGAAACAAACAGTTGTTGATTTACAGTATGCGGGGCCAAAGGATTTATAAAGATTTGAAATGCCACAAATTGATTCAGTGTCAAAATTAATACAAATGTCAGTTCCCAGTTTAAATAAGTTTCAAGGTGACAATGTGTCAACGCTGCGAAATCGGTTTAGTGCGTTTACATGTCGATAAGTGATTGGAGCGTTTGCAAAACATTTTATTTCGCATAATGCGTCTAAATTTATCAGAAAGCAGCTTATGTGATATTTTAATAACAATGTTTATATGACTGTTAACCATAATAAGAGAGTAATGACCATTTTACAATTTATATATCACATTAATATGAAACTGCAATAGAGCAATTGTTTGTGATAGAAACCTAGGCATTAGGTCGGGGAATTTTTATCGTGATGACGTGCACGCCACTTTGTTTGGCGTTGACTATAAACATATAGGCTTGACTCATAATCTATTTAAATTTGTTGGTCTAAGGCAATCAAAGATCTATGTATAAAAAGTTCAATCTGTGTATCCTTCGCCATTGTACCAAAGAACGCTGTCATTTTTACGTATGCAGCCCGAACCGGCAGCCATAAATTATTCATCGTGGCTCCAGTGACTGTTCTGTCCAGAGTTCAATCAAACAAGCGATCCGCATCGCTGGAAAAATCCGGAAAATAATCCATGATATTCCTTCGTATGGCGCTTCCACAAAGTTAACGCGGTTTTTCCAAAACAAAGCCTGCTTTGATCAAAACAATCCCGCTCGCATAGGAATGCATTGGCGTTAACTTATTCGGAAACATTTTCCCATTTCCACTGCACGGGGTGCGGATTCAATTTTCGCCACGATCCCAGATGAAAAAGGAATGATCCGGCACGATGTGGGTTCAGAGGGGAAAGGAAAAGGTCCAACGCATTGAGCATAAATAATATAGGGTAATTTACGATTTGCCGCTCGTGAAGGCTGGTAAGGGTTTGGATCTTTGGAGCATGGAGTTTATAACATAAAATCTAGCAAATCCTGAATCGTCGCATTCATGGAAAAGAAACAAGTCTAAAAATGAAATTTTACAGGTTCTCAATTCACACGCTTCAAAGGAATATTTGATATTTGCATTGTCTGCATGCAATTCAGAGTGCCCAGCCGATCTCCGTGAAGGGGAAAGCTTGTAGAAAATTCCTTTTTGATGAGAGACCTACAGGTCATCACTCCCTGAGGTCGGAATAATCAGACATATTCTAATGCGTCTAAGAGACAGTACTGCACCTTAACTAACTAACAATCAAACAAAGTATTTTTTTATTACCCAACAGAACAACGTTCCAGTTACAGGACAGGTTAAACTTATATCACGTATACGCGTATAAACAATGCCAAGGTAAATGGCCGAACGCAACAACAGGATAAGAAAATTACAACAATCTTCAATAAGTAAATACAACATAGGCACACATGAAACAAAAATATATCCAAAGTACGTATATATAAACTATATGCCGTATGGAAGTCGAGACATACAGTAAACCTAACTGAGACGATAGGATACTACCCAGAGAATCAGCATGCGTATCACAGACAGCAATGAAATTTTTCACAGCTACAGGAATTAGCAAATTGACCTCTAAGTCAGTATTCCTTCCCTCCAATCTGAAAAAAAGCAGATAAGCGTAACGTAAATAGCTAGCCTGCGACATCTGTGTTGAAGCTTATATATTAAATATAAGCATTGGTAGAATAAATCCTCCTCCAGCATTAGATGCAACAGCTATCATCGTAATAGTCCCTTTTGCAGCGCTTGTTACGGATCCTGCTTGCTTAACTCCAATTGGTGCCAGAACTTTCGGAGAGACGTGCACTGTAGACAAGCCTGTTTCGTCTATATTCCAAATTTTAGCTGCTTGCAAATCTAACTGGCATTGTGACAGAGCTTTCTTATAGTTATTGAACGTTAGTACAACAGAGTGCTTATTAAATGCCGACGAACGCGCCAAGCTCGTGGCTTTTGGTTTACGCGCAGCTCTTCCTTATAACGTTTCCTGAATAACCGCAGCCAGTATTTTCTTGCCATTTGTTAGAGTCGCTTGTAGATATTTGATTTGGTTAACCTTTGCGAACTGGTATGCCCGTACTTTGAAGTCTTTTGGAGTTAAACCAAACTGAAGAGTCGATGCATCCTTGGTGTAGTCCACTAGCATTTTATCTTGTCATTCATTGAAAACTTTTTTGACTGCAGGATTTTGACGCAACTCTTGCACAGAGGTGCCTTACTTCATCATGTGGGGGTAGTAGCGTCTTAAGGTCGTTCGGGGAATGCACGGAGGCACTATGAAGCGTAAATTTCTTCACCGTTACTAAATTTACAGCAATTTCAATATTTTCTGTGCCCAGTATAGGTCTTTCAATTTTTTTCTTGCTTCGCGGCATTTTACCTATAACAATGTAATTATGCTTTTTAATACAATAGAATTATATTCATAAAAACTTTTGTAAATAATTGTTGACCTATATCCGATTATGTACCTTGGCCAGTGACCGAGGACATTGTAAGTTGTGTGGCTAAGGTAAAACATCTTCACATTTAACTCAACAAACTTCATACACCCACCTGCCACTTAAGTTGGGATCTGTCACTCATGCCGCCGCCTAGCCATATATATTACTAAGATTGAATTCTAAATAACAAACATGCATGACTAAATTGGAATGAAGTAGGTCCTGAAAAACTTAATTTTGGAGTGTAAGTCAATAAACTACACTTTTTACCTATACTCACACGGCGCCGGCAAATAGCACCTTACTTCACGTTAATGACATTTCAAATACCATATCTTAAAAGCGCGGGATATTTTAATGAAATATGATTGTTCTAGGTACAACTCTGTCCAAGGTACAACAGATTCCCCTATTTTCAAAGCTTCAAGAAACAATAGCTAAAATTAAATATCTAAAACTGGACAATGTCATCAAAGGTAAAGCGCAGCAGATAAGATTAGATTATTAATAAACTAACAAAAATAGAATATAAAAATATAAAAAAGGTCAAACAGTGAGTGGACAATAAACAATACCAAAAAACATCTAAAAAAAAGACGTCTATTATTATTATTATTATTAAATTCCCACAAAGTCGCTCATGAGGTAGCAAGTCTGATTGGTAATGTATATTTTCAGCTCAGCTTTAAAACTGTTTTAGGAGCTGTTAGTCTTAATATACTCAGGCAGCTAATACCTACTCTTGGACCTAAAACAAAGGGAGATCTACTACATATCGAGCAAACGGCAGATGCATGTCGTGCGAGAATATGAGAACTGAACGTGGCTTGTGCTTTTTCCTGTACTCCTACGTTAGTGAAACAATTTCACACCTAGTGCTGGGGATTTGCCGGGTTGTGGGATATCGGCCTCTATTGGTGAATTTTGTTGTAGGGGCCCTTTTCTCACCCTCTTGGGGACTTAATCGTTGTTACAGCTACACCTAAACCATCGAGCTGGGTTCTACATTCGGGTTCTGATTTACATCTCGGTCTTCCTACCCTTGGTTACCTTTGCTTCGGAGCTTCCATTTTGTTACCTTTCCTTCGAGAGGCTCCATTGCAGCTATCCTTTCTCTTGTGTGGGAATCAATCCCACCATTCTGTGTTAAACAGGCACCTACCAAGGTGAATTTTTTTAAAACTTAGGCTTTTTTGCTGGAAAGCATTTAGCTTGGGGGTAGTAGCAACTAATTTCCTTTTGTTTGTCTTCCAGGATTTTTTTTGTTCAATAAATGTTTGTGTATCTTGTGAATTTGTGTTTTCTTTAGCTCCAGAGACCTATCAATTGACACTCAGTTTAGTAGTAGCCAAAAGGCACTACTTTTTTATTTCATTTCCTAGCTCTTGGAACTAGGTGGCGCCCAAACCTCAACCATTTGTATTAAGGTCCAAAGTACAGAGAACTACAGCCTGGAGCTTTATTAACTACCAACTGAGTACAGTGTTAGTTAATTTTTTTCCCAAATTTTAAATATATATAGCCAGGATAACACTCCTTCTGAAAAATAATTATTCTGCATTTACTTAAAAGTTATTCAAGGTAACTCATATTTTTGAAAAATGTATAAGGAATTTTGTAGAAAGCTACTGAGCTATCACAGTTATCAGTAACTGTGCTAAATCTTTCGAAATAGTTATACAAACTGTGCTGTATTTCCATGTGAAGAGGTCTACCTCCGTCAATCAACATATTTGCATAAAGGGCAGGTCCACAACTACTAACTTGTTACATCTTACTCAGTATGTTTGTGAATCTATACCTAGACAATAGCAAACCGATGTAATATAATACACCGTCTATTTAAAGCATTTGACAGCTTAGATCATAACATTTTTCTTAATAAGTTATCTAGATATGGACTTTCAGATTCACTACTACTATTTTTCAAAAACGACTTATCTGATAGGAAAAAATACGTTATGTGCAATACAGAGAAATCAAGCCACTACTATGGTACGTCTGATGTTTCTCAATGATCTAATTTGGGACCTCTGTTATTTGTTATGTTCTTAAACGATATTTGAATGAATTTATTGATGTTGATTATATATATATATATATATATATCTCCTCAAAGTATTCTAGCTTCTGTAAGTAAGCCTCCTTTTCAAAAATATATCCAACTAATTTTGGTAATATCAATTGCATTCCATAATTTGATCAATTTACGAAAGATGAAAGCTATCCCATAAAATCTCATAATGAACGAATTCTGTGTATGTTTCCAGTTGAACCTTAAAACCCTGTTGACATTCATATTTTTTTATACCGTCAAAGCCTTTTGATGTTCGTTTTTACCTTCAAGAATAACCAGGTACTGTTAAATTACAATATGCCCGATATTTATATAATTTCTGCATTTAAGTCAAAGCTGCGATAACATTTGAAAAATGCATAATTACAAAGTCCGAGGATACAAAATCAAAAAAAAATTTAAACATTGTTTAGAAATTATAATTAAATTTCTCATTGCAGAATCGTATATGCGTAATATTTGTTATATTGACGTATACGTTATGAAATTTTTAATCGATTGGCATTTCCCAAGAAATGAAGAATTATATAATTCATTTATTTACACCTTTGTTATTTCTAGCTTATACGTACAATAGAATGAATAGTTTTCAAAATATGGAGTAATTTCAGATTTCCAAGATCGTGACAAATGAGGCTGTATTTTTGGCTGCTCAATGACAGTTTTTACTTTCTATTGATTATCCATTACATTTCTATGAGATTCAGTCACACCTTACTTCATGATTCACTTTGGAATTTTACATTATGGTTGAGTGGATCCAGATTTCCTAATCTTTCCCCCAACCGAAACTTCATACCCGCCCATAGTCAGCATCAGCACGTAAATCATGAGTACTTCTCCTTTTCTCCTTTCCTGTACGCGCAAACTTCTCTAAATTTTTATAGGTGCACGAGAAGAGGTAGACTAATGTATTGCGACGCCTGTGGAATAATAATTCGTTGATCCTGCAGCCAGGCGGCTTTAGTTGCGGTGCTGGTCTGATTTCTCAATAAAGCGGAAAATTCTTCTGTCGATTCTCCTTGATATTTGCACTTTGGGTACAAGTTTACCTGCAAGCTTCTCATCTGCATTTTATGTACAATGAAACGTGAGCAGAAAATTTATACTCGTCTACCTCCGTGCTGGATATGCACTTTCGAAACTATATTCCTGCTTGGAACGTGTAATCTTCGTTTCTTTCTTGAAGGCGATAGCACAGAGCTGGAATGTTGTCAAGAAGATTACCTCGTTTCTTGTATAATAGGGCGGAAATGTTGAATCTTGGCATTTAAGAATCGAACACAATATCATGCAAACCACTGCCGGAGCTGGCCCGAGTCGACCGCATCCGATTAACCAAATTTTAAGTATGTTTGGTATTGAAATTCTTGAATAGCAACTTTGAAGTCGTGTTTTATTACCTCAAATGACCCTGGATTGTTAGCATAACATTATTCCTTAACGGCTGCTCATCTATGGGTTAAAATTGTCCTTCAACTGACTTAAGAATTTCGGTTGACTATTCATTTTTCGAAATCGGTGCCTAAAGTTCGATGATTTCGTTGACTATGTAGCAAGTTACACCGTCCTGTTAAAACCAAACGTCGACCGTTTCCTTCTCTTCAACTTTCTTCATTTCCGAAAAGTCCCAGTGATGCCGCCGGAACAAAAACCGCACCAAATAGTCATTATTTGATGCTGGATTGACCTGTAGACAACGCGACGTGCGGATTATCTGCAATTTTTCTTATTGACATAGCCCTGGGGATGGAAATAAACATCATCTAAAATTATGATTTTTCGGTAAAAATGTTGATCTTCCGCCAAGCGAGTTTCAAGCCAGCAAAAAGCCCAAAACTAGTCTCCTGATACCTCATAAATAAAATTTTAGCTTTTGATATCAGTATAACCAGTACTTTAAGTAGCAAATGCTAGATGGGGCACCCTGTATTAATATATGTAGATACGTTTTACTTCTATTCTAAGCGACACAAATTGAGGCCTTATACGTTAGGAAAGTTAGGTCACTCATTTCTATTCGACTGTCTACTGTTATGCATTAAGGATGATCATTGGTGCCATATTTCTGTTTTTTTTTTCGAACGACTAAGACGCAATTGCTTTATTTCATAAGCTTTTTTAGTAAAATAAAAGTAATATGAAATAGTCGCAGGAAATCCCGAGCCAGAAGACCTCGGAAGTAAATATCTAATGCAGAATTTAAATTTGAATTAGGTATGTTTTAGACTGTAGTTTTCGTTCGTTGCAGAAAAGTGGTTGTGAACGTGAGCGATGAATGTCACTACTCAATGGTTTGCTGAATGCTGGTTCAGTGATAAGGACATTGTTACTGTGATAAAGAAAATAAGTAGAATGCAGTGAGGTTTTTTTACATACAACAAGCTGAACAGCCCGAAAATGTGATATAGAATTGGCATTAACTCAACAGCAGTTCACTTAAACTTGATTTTAGCACCTAGTAGTCGCAAGAATCCTAGCTTACAGTCTGCTTTGAAAACTATTTCACTACAATAATGGTGTCCTACATGCGTTACTCAAAGCAATTTGCTCAGCTTTGTTTTCTTGATCAGACTCAACAGCCGCCGCAGAAACAGTTCCGTATAGGATATACTATATATTTAGGCAGATAACCCCAAATAACTCTAGGTAAGTGATAAAGTAATATGCAGTTTAGACACGGGCAAAAAGAAGTAGCGGTTTTTTTAAGTAAAAACACTCGCGGTATCGCTGGATTCTCCTAATTTCTCATCGAAAGTTAGCAGTATTGAGTTCATAAAAACTGTTTGCGGAAGATTATCTAAAGAAGTCACCGTTCTTCCTTCTTCAAGATCTAGGAGGCTAAGAAAGGAAGCTGACTTGGGCATTATTGCAATGATCTACGGTGTCATCTAGTAATATGGAGACTAATAGGGTTTTTAAGCGTTTTGATGAATGGCAAAGAAATGGAGCTCCAGTATTTCCTGGATGTGCCGTTGCACCATCATATCGCATCCACTAGAAACTTGAAATGACTTAGCACCATACTTAATGACGCCCTATACCGTAGCAGTATGGTTTACGTAACGTTCAACTGGCTCATGCATTTAGTTTTAGGAATGCATGTTGCCAGGCACGAGTGACGAACTATCTCGGAGAGAGACATGATGCAAAACTTTCAGTTGACCGTCAGTTGCATTACACTGTAGAAGTCGTGATTTGATGTGCCACTACATGTGATGCTAGATCACCTCTAGAAAGTACTAGAACCTTATCCTTTGCAATTTCTCTAAACACCTTAATTTTCAACAATTAAGAGCCGTCCTCATATTGCTAGAACTACAGTAGAGAATCTGAATAACGCTTGAGTCGACCTCCTTCCACACCTTCAGACTGAATCAACTACAGTTCCTCTGGGAT